CTCTCACAATCTGGGACCGCTAGCTCCTAACTGCTCACCTGCCTGCCTGACTGATCACCCCTAACTGCTCCCCCCTGCCATCCTGTCCCCCGCTTCTGGCCTGGTCACTCCTAACTGCTCCCCCTGCCAGCCTAATTGCCCCATGCAGCCCACTGCTCAGTCATTTGGTCATCCCTCACTAAGGCCCCTGCCAGCCTGGTTGCCCTACACAGCCTGTTCGGTCGTCTGTTCGATGGTCACTTAGGCTTATCATTTGTTAAATGTAAATTAAGTTCATATATTTTTAACATTGTTAGTTATTTATCTTTATGTCATTACTAAAACAAAAATGAGACTCCCACAGACTTTGATTTGCTTAATATGCTCATCCCAGAAGTGTTTTTCTTCCTGAGTACGAAGAAAATTTAAATTTATTTAATTTAAATGTTTTTACCAATGCCAAAGGCCTCTCAAAATGCATTATGTTTCTGTCAGTATTTGCATAGCCTCATATGTTTTATTCAGAATGCTCAGCTACTTAATGAGCATAGAACCTCAAATGCCATTTGAAAATATGAAACCTTTATCTTTTAACTTGGTTTTGCTTTCATGCATAACATCACTCTAAAACCACAGTTGTGATATTTAGTAGCTGTCTTTGCAAAACTGCAGGTAATACATCTTTCACATTTCATTGAGAAGAAAAGAACCTTAATCCCACCAGGATCTCCATTATTAGTTCTTCCTCTTGATTTTTTCCCCCATGGGGATTTTGAGTTGGCCAGATGTCTCTCTGACAGGCCCGCATCTTACAAAGGCAAGCTAGAAGAGCAAAAATCTATTTTTGAGGAAGGGGATTAAATCTTACTTCTTGTCATCTGGCTCACTGTGTCCAACCCAGTGATTAGTGCTTCCTATTCAATATTGTACAATTATTCTCTTACTTACGTAGTAGCTTACCTTCACTTTCAGTACTCTTAACAATAATTAGCCACTCATCTGGGTTTTTATTCCCTTGAATTCTACTAATTCTAACGACTATTGTACAAACCACATCTTTACCCTGGATCCTCTCTCTCTAGGGAATGCCAATTCAATTTCATCAGCAGCAAAAATTGAAATAGCCTATTCCATATTCATCACAGATGTTTATCTTCCATGGACAAGAGTGGCTGAGTGAAATATTTGAGAATCAATTGGATGAGAAAGTGTTTATTTCTTGAATTGGCCTAATTCTCATTTTCCAGCACGGTGAGGCTTCAGTCTTCAAGTAGTTGCTTTTGTGATTTTAAAAAAATGTCGAAAATGGCAAAATGATTCCAAAGTCACACATTATGTCATCAATGGTTTTAAATACTGTAACAGCTCAAATATGTATTCCAATCTTTACTCTATGGAATTAATAATCATCATTATTTGTTATCTTTTTACCTATGTCCCTGTTTCAGTGCTAAGAATTTGTCCTTTCTATATAAAACCAGCTTTCTTATTTCTACAAAAATACTGAATTATTTTGTTTCAGTTGTGTTAGGCCCGACCAATAAATGTATGAAATCTACCAATGAAAGTATGCAAAAGTAAGAACTTATCTTTTGCCTTACCAACCTATTTTTATGTTATATTAAAAGGTTACCCTTACCTATCAAGCAATGCTGAGCAACATGGCTTTTTACAAACTAGTCATTTCCTTTCTTATATCTTTGTTTTGAAAACACAAGATCATCTGTCTAGAAGTGTTTACCTTTTTTTTACTGTCCATTTGTAAATAAAGTTCTTTCAAAGTTCTGTTCAAATTTTATGTTTATGAGGCTTTCTCCAAACATTTTCCTACACACACACACACACACACACACACACACACACACACACACACACTACGCACTATTTTCTCTCTTCCTGACCCTCCAATAGCACACCATGGATTAGTTCATCAAATTAGAATTTTTCGTTTACATTCTCTTTTCTATTATATTAGAAGATCCCTGAGGTCAGGGTATTCCCTTTATTCATCCTTGATAATCTAGCTCAGTACTGCCATGGTTATGGGCATACACTATGTATTTGTAAATAATTGATTGCATTAGTATATGCTGACTTCTGTAAAATTATTCTTAAATTCTGGGAAATAACTACTATTGTTCTATATTGAAAACATGATCTGTGACCATAATGGTTTAAGTAGAATATTCTATTTTAAATAGACTTACGTTAAATAGACTTACAGTGGTGATCAAGCCATTACTTTATATACCTGAAACTAATACAATGTAATATGCCAATTATATCGCCATTAAAAAGTTATATATACTAAAACTTTAATTTTTAAAGTTTTCCATGAGATTCAAGTAAATTTTAAAGTTACTAACCACAAAAAGAATAAAGGGGGGGAAGGAAGGAGACTCTCAATTTATTTGTGAAAATTAACTCATTCATGTAAAATACCAGTAAAATAAGGCTTTTTAACTTCAAGGTAAAAAGAAAGTTGGCTCTTGTCATCTCTTCAAAATGCACCTTAATGGTTAGTCTGCAAAAACAGGGCAGGGTTGCACTAAAGAGAATTCAGGGTAAAACATGTGAACTCCATTATTTCAGAGGGTGACTAGGGAGAGCACTCAGGGACCAGGATATGGGTTCCAGACCTCACCAGTTACTGACAGTCTAGAATGACCCAAATTGAATTTTGTGCTCTTTTTTTTTTTTTTTTTTTTTTTTAGCTCATTTTAAGCCGAGCCAAGATATTTCCTATTTTTAAACAGGCAAAAATAGAAGCGGCTTTATAAAGTTGTTCATTTATGAGACAAAGCATCCATTGTGTTTATTGCTTTCTTCCTTATTACTTTTCTGATAACCACAAAGATTTAATTTTCTGTTAAGATGATTCAAGTGATTTTGCTAAGAATGTGTCTAGATGCTTGGAATAGAGAAAGCATGGCTTCTGAGTTCCAAAATAGCTATACTTGAAGGCATGTGCATGAAAGAACCTTCGTAAGCATTCTTGGACTGATATTTTTTCTCTCAACCCCTCCACCCACACCCAACCTTAAAAAAAAAAAAAAAAAAAAAAAAAAAAAAAAAAACAACTTCGGGTGGAGTTAAGAACTCTTTTCAAATCTTAAACAATAACTGGAAATCCTGAAAATGTATTCTCCTTTATCCAGTGAGAAAAACATTTTAAAGAACCCCCTCCTTTTTCCCCCTAAGAATTGTTTAGCAAGGGATTTACTTTGGGGTTTCTATTTTGAACAGAGAATTCAGTGTTAACTGCCTGAAATACAATGCCATCTATATTTATTTCCCTCAAAGACAAAATCCATTTCCCCCCAATATTATAAGTACACGGCCCTAATAATCCAGGTAAATATATCAACTCAACTACTTCTTTAATTCAATGGTGAAATGAGTGACTTAGAAAATGTACCATGAAGATGTGAATAAGATTGCAAATGAAAATATATCAAGCATGACTAAGCTTAATTTTTAAGTATTCTGATTAGTAAATTATGTCTCACATACATATTTCTCAGGGTGGTGGGACCTATCAGATGAGAGAAAAGGGCACAGAGTATGGTATAGTCAGTGGACAGGGAAATGGGTCAGGAACCAGGGGGCCAAAGAACCACAGAATCACTTTGATGTCAGGTTCCTCAAATGTATGCCACCTGCTGGGATCACTCGCCCATCTACCTAGCACAACAGTATCTGACACCTGGTGACCACTCGAAAATAACATTGGAACTCAGTCATAATGTAGTTTAAATATGAAGTGATATATAAATGTGCAACATCTTTATACACTTATAATTAGGGTATCCTGAGCTAATTCCTGTGACTATCGTCCTGACCATTTCCTAATATAAGAAGGAAACTTCATCTCTTTCCCACCAAATCTTCCATGAAAAATAAAATCGAATATTTTATTTATATGCACATCAAAAATGCTTAAGTTCTATCCCTTGATTTTTATTACAGCCTGACCTTTCTTACATAACCATGACATTCTTTAAGAGGAACTGGAAGTCTGATGCTTGTTTCTCTCGTTCAGAGACATGATCTCTAATATCAGCCCCAACATTGAGTCTAGAAAGTTTATGTTATAGCAGGTTTTCTATTTTCGGAAAAGGGAAGTTGAGTTATATAGCATCTCAATGGACATCCTTTAGTGCCTAATCTTTTCTAAGTAAGCCTATAGAGCATGAGTGAAGCCACAGCAGGACAGTGTCCAAATCATCCTGATGTTCACATGACAAATAAAAACTAAGGAGAACAGGGGCCAGACTCTTGCAGCTATCTGAAAGACACAGACGATTCTGACTCAGAAAAGGCTTACCTTCCCAATTCTCTCCCTTTAATTTCTCTCCATAACGGTGTGTGGAGAGAAACTGAGAGTTGTATACTTTTAAGACACACAACCCTGAAGGCAGTTCCTGCTTCCCCATTTCCCTGTGACTAGAAGCATCTCTAAAATAAAATGTGAGTTCGTTATGGAGAAATGCTTAACGCAGGCTAAGTGTGTATGTCTCACTGCTTTTCGTAGCTGGTTATTCCTCTACATTGCTGATGCCTAGACTATCTTGGCTCCAAACTTGTTTCCTAAAGTTGCTTTATATGCATTACATAGAAAATTGACATTTCATATCTCAGTTGTTTTTATTCATAATGTCTCTATCTACCGAATGACAAATACACGGATGGCAAAATAAACTGGCTATAATTACATGACAAATTCTAACTTATGAATTTTTTAATAAAACAGACAGTTGAAAAAGATCAGTAATATGAATCGTTCTATTATACTTAAAACATTGTTATTATTTTAAAACGCAGATTAAGCAACAATGAAGGCAATTTATTTTATATATTAACTTGTACATTTTGTACTAGAGAGTGATGAGGATTTATATCTACAATATAGATTTTCTATCAACAGCCTCTCTTAAACATTTCTTGCCCATGCCTATAACAGCGCATTTTGAAACTATATGTGGACATGAGAAATGTTGCCAAATTTGACCACTACTTACGAGAGGATATTCCCAATATAGGCGTAGTAGGAGCAACAATAGGGCGTGGTCCCATCACAGCAGTAAGATCTGCAGTCTTTGCCACACTGAGCAAGACAATTGTCTACAAAAATAAAAACAGCATGTCCAGTTACAGTTCTGAAATCACAACTTCATGAAAAATTATCCCATTTCATACCTTAACCATTCCTCAGTGGATTTAGATTTTTGTTTTGTGTATGTAGAATGGTAAAATATTTGTAAACATCTGAACGAATCTTCCTTCTCTATTAGATAGAAAGCTAGGAAAAGCTAAGACCATTCTTTGAATCATCTGCATTCAAGACCATAGTTGGTGGTCAGAATTGAATAAGACAACGAAGGGAGGAATGAACTAATCCATCATTCAATTTGTCAACTGAGTTCTCATAATAATTTTTAAATGGTAAAGTCTGTTGACTTTAGGGTATTACTCTCAACTTTATTTAATGGAAAGTGTTATTGACATGAATAAAGTCAACTGGAAATAATTTTAAAATAATGCACAATGATCACAATTTGCTTATATATGGTAACACGAATAAGTCTGCATATCCTGTCAATGTATTTAGATTAGAAAATAAGAAATTTCCCTAGATAATTAACTTGTGAAAATTAAGAGTTTAATGTCAAGTTGAAGAATCAATGAACTATGAAACAGCACTCTGTGATGGGGGAAAGTATTTTTTTTATTAAAAGGACATGTTGGAGCTAACAAAATAAAATTATTATCTTTTTTGCCACATGCTTTTGGTAAGGAAAAATATACAAAAAACATTGAATAAAAATTACCCTGGCTTTTTAAAAATTCTTTATTCCATCTACATAATTTATGTTTAACACGTTAAGGTTGCCATTTAGTTATGGTTAGTGGTATACACTATAATGGATATATGAGTATCAGGTATAGTGCTAGGAAAACATTAAGTACAGCCTGATCATTTAAGTTAGATGTTCAAAAATCACAAAATAAGTCATTTCCAACTCAATCTCTGAAGGTAATAACAACTTTCTAAATTATGTAAAACTTTTGATTTTTTGCTCAAGTCACATAAAAATATAAGGTGTCATGTCCAAATGATTTATCTAGAAAGAAAAAAAAATTATTTTGCTTTTAAATCACCTCCTTGCCAAGATGAAGTTTTACAAAAGAATGTGACCAAAAAGTAGCAAAATTCATTCACCTTTATCAATAATGCGTGGCATTTGTGGAACAAGAAAGAAGTTCACATATTCTTTCCCTCAACTTTATTTCTAATTTCTAAATGAACACACTTTAATGACTTCTTCTGGGATGAGGTAAAAAGAAATGAGGGGGCAGAGGGAATAGTTACCTTTGTGAGATGCAGTAACTCTGCTTAAATTTACTTGAAAATTTTGAAGACAGAACCACAATCTAATGATTTATTGACTGTTATGCTTTTTGCAAAATGCATCAAACTTTTAAAGGCTATTTATTTTCTCACTTTCCTAGTGAATGTTACTGCTCTCATTTTTCATGCTGTTTAATTAATTCAAATATTTAGACTGCTCAGTGGCCTCAAGTGTTTAGCAGGAATGTTTTGCTTCATGATCTTAAAAGCTGTAAAAGACACTGAGATACAGGGAGAGCTGCTTATTCTGGGGGAGAACAACCAATATGTAAGCAGCTTTAGGAGGTGCCTTTTCAATGACATCCAGGGCAGTGATCTTACTAAGCACTCCATGAATATCAAAGACTCAATTACTACTATTGTAAGGACATGCTGATATCAAAATATTTTGAGCCAATGGGACAGGAAACCAAGCCCAAGATCTTGCAGCCAAGAAACTGGCTTTTACCTGCAGCAAACATCTCCACCATGTCACACATTGTTCATGATTTTTATGGCATTTTCCAGTGCTCCTGTCTACTTCCCAGAATTAAATGCCTGAAAAGGGCAGATTTAATAGCCCGGCAAAAACATTCACAACCATGACATTTCCAGACCACGGTTCCAACCACACCTCATAGCTTATTTTGATATGTTAATTGCTTTCTCCACTTTATTTGAGACCAATTCTACAAAGATCAGAGTTTGAACAATACAGAAACGTTTTCTCACTTGTAAAAAAAAAAAAAAAAAAGGAATATTTTTATTGTCTTCAGAAAATAAGTAATATTGCTCCAAATATTCAAGTAATATCCTTGAAAATCAGCCAATGCTCAGTGTCTTTAGTTAAAGGCACGAAGATCTGGAGGAAGATTCCCCACCCCTACCCTACCTTAAAGAATGAGTCCTACAGGAAAAACAGCATCTGGCTGCGAAGATTGGCTCAAAAAAAAAAAAAAGATTCTTATAAACTACAGTTAAGGATAAGAGAGGAAGGAAAGGGAGGGGACAGAAGTCACTCTAGCTGAGACTGCAAAGGCAAAACCTTGGCCAAATCCTGTCTTTGTAGCCTGTCCTGGGCGTTGGATAATAATGTAAACACTTCATGGGGTCTCATTCCAGAAGTGACTCCACAATACAGCTTGATGCTTCAGGTATGGAAACTTGCTCATATTTCCTTAACAAATGGACCAGGAATTGAATGCATTTGCTTTGAGGAAAATAATTCAAGTTATGGACAACCCATCTACTTGTGTTTTCATCCCATTAAAACTGACAACTCATTTAGCAGGATGTCTGAATGATTCTTACTACTGCATGTTCCCTTATCTCATCTCACTCCTCACTTCCAGCCCTAACTCTTACTTCCAACCAAACTGAATTACCTCTTTTTGCAAAGACACATCTCGTGGTTTTTGCCTTGATGCATACCATGTCCCATTACTCCATCTCCTATGTCCAAGACCCCCCTATCTTTCAAAGGCCTAGTTCCTAAAAGTCCTACTCAATTCAGTTTTTTGGAAACAAATATTGTTTGCGTTCCATTTATGGGCCAAGCATTTTTCTAGTCTCCAAGACTATTAAACTGAGCAAAACAGACATCATTTTCAGGGAGTTTACACTCCCAGGCCAGCAATCAGACCCTCTCCTTTGAACACTGACAGCACGTGATTGTACCTCTGAGTCTTGGCTAGGAGGTAGTGTGTCCGTTACCATTTGGGTAACAGATACATTACCTCCTAGCCAAGACTCATAGAGAATGGCCTCTGTCCTATGTGTCACTCAGCAAATATTAGTTGAACAAAAATGGAAAGCATGGAAAAGCCTCTGATATAAAGAGTTCAGGAATTAACACCGAAGAACAGATTAACTCAGCATTCCTTATCAAAGACCATAAGTCAATCTCATTTTTTGGCTTCACATTGTGTGCTTTGCAGCTCAGCAGGGAGAGATGGGGAAAGAGAGAAGAAATGGATGGAGAGAAAACTTTCTGAACTAATCAACCTGCTGCTTAGCCAGCTCTGCGGGCTTCCTGAACCTGGGGAAGGGAACCAAGAGAAGGAGAGTGTGCACATTAGAAGCCTTCTCTTTACCACAGAGTACAGAATCAGACAAAAGGATAAGAAAGGGTTGTTATCAATGGTGTGGTCGAGTAAGAGCAAATGAGGTTATTACGGTTGCATTTGCTGTGTTTGATCTTCTTATTTTTGTCTTCTCTTGATAAAGGGAAGGGGTAGGAAAAAATTATCATTACTTCAAATAAATGAATAAAGAGCTAAAACAAATAAGAATGCAGTCGATTCTGTTAGTCCCTCAAGTTCTGAAACCTGGCATGATTTAAGTAAAAGAAATACATGTAAACAGATTAGAATGTAAATTCTCCTCATTAGACAGAAAGTGCTTTTCCTACTTTTATAAATTTCTTCATTTTCCCTCCAAGAAAATACCTTTGCACTAACTTATGGAAACCACTGATTTGCATTTAAATAAACAGACTGAACATTTCCATAGGAGTTATTGTGTGTCACTTCGGCAAAGTTGAAAGAGGAATTCAAAGCTTTTGATGTGCAGATAATGTTGCAGAACTCTTCATTTCAGCTCTAGTAGCTTTATAAATGCTTCAAGAAAACAACCCTTATATATAGTAAAGAGTAAATCACACTGCTATACACGAATCTAGTATCGTAAGGTCATGGGTACCAGCCTCTGGTTTTCCTCATGGGAAATCAGAGACGCGGAAAACATCTTGCAAAACACTTTGCTTTTAACTTGTATTGTGACCAGAAAACAGATGCAAAATCCGTGTGCAATGAACTTTAGGCCTGAATAAGGAATGAAACAGACTAGACTCCAGGTGGATGAATGCCTCTCAAAAACCTTACGTTTGACTTCAAAGCACCCAATGGCTCAGGCGACTGCACGAGAGAATCGCCTTCTAAAGAATAAAAACGAAAGCCTAAGGGTCTTTATTTCCAGGAGGGAAAAAAGCGGAATATTCAAAAGGATGGAGAGGGCAGTGAGCAGCCTGCAATGAAATGCAAAAGGCCACCGCTCCGATTCACGGGAAAACTTTAGCAATGCTGCTTCCACTTCGGGACTTCGGGTGCTTTTTAAAAATGTTCTCCTTCCATCCCTGAGTCCCCAATCACCCAGATTCTTTAGATGGATACGGATACAACCAGACGATGTTCCACTATGCATGCAGAGAGTAAAATTCCCTACGTTTGGGGCTGGGGGCTCCAGGTTGCTTTGTGCAGAAAGGAAAAGAAAAGTAAGGAAAAGCAGGGGAACTTTAGGGGAAAGGGCACGATCAAGGGAAGGAACAAAACCAAACCTCCTGCAAGTGGAGTCGAGGGTCCCAGTCCCCCGCACTCCCCACCAGGAACACATCATCTCTGCGCTCCAGGGCATCCATTCAGATCGCGTAGCCCCAGTGGGACCCCAGTAGGGCCCCAGGTCCCCCATCCCTCTCCCCCTCCGCCCCGGGCCACTGACCTGCGACCACAAAGAGCAGAACCAGCTTCGGAAGCGAGACCCCTGGACCGCCGGGCCGCCTTCGCGCGTCCATCCGCGCCGGTGGCCGGAGGGTGCGCACCGGGCCAGCCTGACAGACGGACGACAGACAGACAGGCTGGAGCCGGCTGGGAGCGCCGGGAGAGCCCGGAACGGGAAGGGGATGGAGGAGATGATGGAGGGGATGGAGGGCGGTCGGTCAGAGGGAGCCCACGGTGCTCCCGGGAGGGGGGTCGCTGCGCAGAGACCTGGCCATGGCCCGGAGCCTCAGAGGGGAGGGGGCCGCAGCGGCCGTGCTGGGGCCGAGGGCTCTTTGTCCTCCAGGCGGGGCCCTGGCGGCAGGGGGGGGGGGGGGGAAGAGGGGGACGATCTTGTGTCCTGGGCCACCTGGGTTCACATTTCATCGCCGACTCCTCCCCACGCCCCAGTTCTTCCCTCTGACCCCCGGAGCGTGGCCCTCTCCTGGAAGGAGGTCTGCTAACCCTGGGCTCAGGCTGCTGCTATGGAGTTTGGCAAGCTCTTTTTCTCTCTGACTTCCACTCCACCTCCCCACCCCCTTCCTTTTGAAGCAAGGGATAAGGATGAAGAATTATATATATATATATATATATATATATATATATATATATATATATATATATATATATATATAGTTTTTAAACAAATGAAAAGCATTTTCGAGGTGGAAGGCATTGGACAAAAAAAAAAAGGTAGCGATGACAATGCAGGAGAATTGGAAAGCACACCTCCAGTATATGGTAGCTCCACTGAGAGCTGTAAAAAAATGTTTATTTGTTAAACAGCCAAAGCGTTTCCCATAAAATTAGGAAAAAAACCAACAAAACAAAAATGCACACCGTGGCCACTATTGCTTGACAGTGCTCTGGAGTTAGTGGCCTATGGGATTAGGCAAGAGGAAGAAAATGGAATTATAAAAATTAGAAGGAAAATGATCACTTGCTGATGATGTGCTTTTTTCCATAGAAAATCAAAGGATAAACTGGAGTTGAATGACTAAAAATTCCATAGCATTCTTTTATGAAATGAAAAGTCAGTTGGAAAGTTCTGTTATATGCACAAAGGCACTAAAGACAAAAGTAAACAGATACTTCTTTTGACGGAAAAATTCAACAATATGAAGATATCAACTTTCTCTAGATTAATCTATAAATCTGGAAATCAAACTGAACCAATATAATAATACCAATATGAATTTTTTTCAAACCACTCTGATTTTAAAGATTATAAAAGAAACTAAACATGTAAGATCTATTAAAAGTGAGTAATGAGCTGATAAAAATATTTCACAAGAGGATAGGCAAGATAAATATTTCAATTAATTAAACAGAAGTTCCCAATTTACATTGTCTTAAAATAATATTTGCTTAATTTACATTTTGGCAAAGGAAACCAATCATCCATACTTTCACCTTTTTTCTTTTCTTTTTTGAGGTAGATGGTGTACTTTCTCATTTATTCTTTGTATGCATACATACCCCCCCATAGTTGAAGTGTAATGTCTGCTCAATGTTATATACTGACTTTTTTCATTTAACATTGTATCCTAAACATTTTCATTATTTGTATCATTTCCATAATCTTTACAGTCAGTAGCTGCTTGCAATTCCATTAGGTTGTTTCAGCATACTTTATTTAGGCTTTATTTATTGTTGCTCTCCTCTTCTTATAGTTCTGTCCATTTCCATCTTTTCACAGTCTATCAGTCTTCCAGGCATTTGCCTGCTTAATTTTTTAGAAGTAATATCAGATCCCCCATCCCACGGATTGAGTTTTTTAATGGATTTCCTTTTTCTTTTGAATAATATTCAGACTCCTTACCAAAATTTACAGTGCCATGTACAATTTGGTTCCCATCTGTGTTTCTGATTTCTTATCCCATGTTCACCCCTCCTTTCTGTGATCTAGCCATAAGAGCCTGTTGGTGCTCCTCCCAGTGGTTTTCTTGTCTCAGAACCCTAGCTCAGGCTATCCCATCTCTCTGCAGCAGACCTCTCCCCAAATATTAACCTTTGAGTTCACCTAAAAGGTCACTTCTTCAGATTTCTTCCTTGGTCACCCTCTGTTATTCTCAATTAAAACACTATATTGATTTAATATGACTTTCAAGAAATTCTGATGTATATTTAAATTTGAGAACCATTCGTCTAGAAAATTGCTTTCCAATGAAAATATCACCTGAGTCACATACGTATTTCAAGTTTCCCATAGCCATGCTAAAGAAGTAAAAAATGAAAGAGTGACATTAATATAAAGATATATTTTATTAACTTTGGTCTATCCAGAATATTATTGTAACATAATCAACATAAACAATTATTGAGATATTTTGCATTATTTTTTTATATTGTCTTCAAAATCCTATGTGTATTTTACATATAACATCCCGTCTTAATTTGGATACTAAACTTCTATCAGAAAACCAAATCTAGATTTTGATTTTATAAAATTTACAGTTGTAAAAGTAGCTACACATACCAAATTATTCCAAATATACCTAAAAGTTTTTTAATAACAGAATGAAGCAACTGATTTGAGATTTTAATTTAAATTCTAACAAATTTAGTAAACCTGTTGCTCTAGCCACATTCTGAGAGGAGCCCAAGAGGTGCAAAAGCTATTAGCTACCATATTACTTGGCACAAATTTAGAAAATGCCCAAATCATACCATATGGACACTTACCTGAGGACTCTGCCTCTTGGGCACCGACAACTACAAGGATTCCTATTACTGGTCTGTCTCTGGCCTAAGTGACTTTTTTTTATTTTATTTTTTGCAATACCACAGCACTCACAAAAAATATAGATCTCTAAGTGTTTTTGTCTTTATGGAACTTCCTTATTTTTTATTTAATCTCTTATCAGTGCATGTGACTGGAAGGGCCATAGTCACATTCCTGTGATCTAGCTGCAAGAGAGTCCGAGAAGGGTGGTGGCAAGCTGGTAGAGGTCAATGGAGGAAAAATGGTACATACGTAATACTTTAAACAAAAAAGAATTTGGAAAAAATAAAGAGAGAGAGTCTGGGGATGTTGAGTTTCGACATCTTCCTTAGGGAGGCTGGCTTATGTAGAAAATTTGCAAGATCTTGGAAAGGTGCTCTGAGTGCTGGGCAGTCACAGAGGTCTGGTAAACAGCTTGTCCCCTCTACAGGGTAAGCTCCCATCTTAGGGATTTCATCCTGTTTGTTCAGGCATAGTTCACCCAGAGCTTTGAACTTAACATGGCTCAAATGGCAGTGCAATAATTTTTGGCTTAATCTAGAAATTCATAGTTCACACCAGAGAATACGAACTAAGAAATATAAAACATGTGCATTTCCCTGTCTGGGAAAAATCGGTTTCAATATGACACTGCTGTGAGGAGGACATATACTTACTAGCATCTATTTTCTTTTAACCTCTACTACTGCTAGAATGATTTCTCTGATAAATTCCAGGGCCTTCTCTGAATGATATTAAAAATGGAACATGAGTGATAGCAGAGATGAAGGGTAGAATGACCTTGAGTGCATAGCAAAGAAAGATCCAGCTGGTGATGTCAGGATTTGTGCTGGTCAGGAATCTTGCTTCCCCAGACTCTTAAAGAGAAACTGACTTGACTGCAGTCCTGCTCAAGGGAAACCACAGCAGGTGTTGCAGTACCAACTGCCCTTTCTCCACCACAAGCTTTTTGTTTGATTAGGCAAGGGTATTTGATCCAAGAGTAATCAATCCATAGACTGGCAAGCAGTTTATTGCATTACTTGCAGCAAAAGGTAAGTTCAGGCCATCAGATGAATTCAAATTTAGAAATACCAAAATATGGAAATAGCAGAAGCTGAAAATATAGGAGGGTGGTACAAGGAGAGAGCAGGCAACTGTAATGGGTCATTTGCTGACCTGTGTTCACGAGGAAGGAGTGACTATGATTAAACAGAAGCAAAGGTGTAGAGAAAAACGTCAAATGTATATATGTATACCTACTGTTTTAAGTCTATTCAGGCTGCCATAACAAAAACATCATAGATTGGGAGACTTACAAACAACAGAAATTTGGTTCTCGCAGTTCTCAAGATAGAGGTGCCGACCACTTCAGTTCTGGTGCAAGCCCACTTCCTACTCAGCTGCATCCTCACATGGTGGAAGCAGGTAGAGAGGGCAGTCAATTTTCTGAGGGTACTAATCCCATTCATAAAGGCTCCCACCTCAACACTTAATTACCTCCCAAAGGCCTCATCTTTTTTTTTTTTTTTTTTTTTTTGTGGTGTGTGTGTGTGTGTGTGTGTGTGTGTGTGTGTGTGTGTGTTTTGTCAATCCTCACCTGAGGATATTTTCCCATTGATTTTTAGAGAGAGTGGAAGGAAAGGGGAGAGAGAAAGAAACATCAATGTGAGAGAGACACAGTGATTGGTTATCTCTCATATGTACCCTGACCAGGGACAGTGATAAAGCCTGCACGGAGATATGTGCCCTTGACTGGAATTGAACCTGTGATCCTTCAGTCCACGGACCAATGTTCTACTTATTTAGCCAAACAGGCTAGAGCAGACCTCATATTTTAATACCACCCTTTTGGGGGATTAGGATTTTAAATATGAATCTGGGGGACACACAATAATTCAGATCATAGCACATATGTATAGCCATATATGCACACATATATTCCCATGTACATACACACAAATGGCTCTGGTTATTTCCTTCTCCTAGTGTACTCTTTCTAGGTCTTTAAATGGGAAATCTTTAATTATATCCTCTAATTATGTTTTGGGTTTGAGTCAGTTGTCATTTATTTAGTGGGTCTTCCCTGACTTCCTAGTCTAATTTTGTCTTCTCTGTTTCTGCCCCTACCTCCATTCATTTCTAACTCATTACACTCTTTTATTTTTTATACTAGAGGCCTGGTGCATGAAATTCATGCAAGAGGCTCAGCCCTCACAGCTTAGGCACCTTGCCTCTGCCCTCACAGCACCAGCTTCTGTCCAGTCAAATTAGCATATTACCATATTACCCTTTTATTAATATAGATAGCACTTATCACCACCTGAGTTAACT